CTAGGTCTCCGAGAGGGATGGAGGAATCGAACCCGGGTCGGCCGCATGCCAGGCAAACGCCCTACCTGCAGTGTGCTGTGGTATTTTGAGTTTTAAAATATGCCGTAGTTTTCCTTGTAAATTACTCCAAGGCAGTAGGAAAGGGTAAAGGTATGTTTAGTGAATGAGTTAGAGTATTATATATTAAAACTTTAAGGTGTTATAATTTGCCACTTCATATAACTGGTGTATGTATATAGCTGAACTACCAGCCCGACCCAAGTTAAATATATGCCATTAAGGGTTTCCAGCCTCGCTAAAATCATCTGCTTCACGATGCATTTTGAAATTGATTTGTTTTATTTTGTTTGGAGGCCACATTCGTTGGTGCTCAGAGCTTTCTCCTGGCTTTGCACTAAGGGATCACTCTTGACAGTGCTCAGGGGGCAAAATGGGCTGCCGGGGATCCATCTGGGTTAGCCACAGGCAAAGCAGGTGCCCAACCTGCTGTACTCTATCACTCCAGCTACCGCACTTAATTCCCTTACTTGCTCAGGTCATTCCAGCGAGGAAAACAGGATCTCAGGAATGTGTTGACATTTTTTTTTAATGGTAACGTTTTAAAAACCATGGTATAACATTAAAGTCACTGTATTCTCGTGTAAGTGTGTATCCCCTGGATTTGCTATCATCAGCAACATTCGTTCATGTGCTTTATGACTTCATCAGAACTGCTTGTTCACTGCAGTAGAAGTACTGTCCAGTGCTAGTACCACTTTCCAAAATCTGTTATTCTAAGGATCAGTGAGCAGCCTAGTAACTGTTGCATTTGCTCATATTCAGCCTCACTAGAGACAGAGGCATTGCTGTCCTCTCTCTCTCTCTCTCTCTCTCTCTCTCTCTCTCTCTCTCTCTCTCTCTCTCCCCCTCTCTCTCTCTCCCTCTCTCTCCCTCCCTCCCTCCCGGTACACCTATGTCTCTTTTCTACTACTGCACATACTTCTGACTTTTGACCTTCATGTCCAATAGTCCAAAAGCATAACAATTCTTGCTTTGTCATACACTTGATAAATGCTTGGGGGAAAAATGTATTTTTTGATTTTATATTAACATTTTATTTTACACATGATGTTTGATCCTAGAAACTGGATTTTATGAAATACTGTCTTCCATAACATAAAAGCATCCTATTTCATGATAAAATTCTAAAGCGAGCCATACCCAGAGATAAATGCATATTGAAGGCACAGTGTTTCTAAAATCCACAGTACCTTCCCAAAGGAGCTTCTGCCTATGGCTAAGCTAGTTATTCCAAATTCTTTCCTAATGCTGACAGTTACTTTCAATCTCGCATTTTATGATATTTTATAGTTTCAAATGTCTTGTTTGGCATACACCACAGTACTTTTTTTTTTTAAAAAAAGAGGTAAATTTGGGGTCCTCGATGAAGTACAGCATGGAGACCCCAAGCACCAGTCGATTGGTTGTTGCCCAGTCAGTGCCCCAGAGGGCAGGGCTTGAGCAGCTCTACCTCTCAGGTCCCTGAGTCGAACCATCGACCAGGTTGGATGAGAATCCCCTCTGGAACTCCCGGTCCTCCGGAGCTGCGCTTGGAAGTGCCTCCCCTCCAAGAAAATTTTATCTTGTCCAGCCTGCCTTGGCAGCGGATCTTTTCATTGGTTAAAACTTCAGCCTAGGTTAAGGAATACAACTTGGGGGAAGGGGGAGCACGAGATCCAAGTGGTCCTTGAGGGGCACTCACAGGTCTGCCCAGAGGATTGTGGGTGACAAGTCTCAAGCCCACACTCCCGCCCCAAGGAATAGGATTGAATGATATACTCTGTGGATGAAGAAGAAAGAGCCTTTCAAAATGTCTAACAGACTAGGCAAGTATATCAGGACATTATTAACTTAATGTCTGCTCAATTACTGCATCAGCCTGTCTCGTTTATTTTGATTTTAGAAATTTTTATTAGATGATGACTCAAAGCAAAGCCGTTATTTTTTGTATGATTATTTTACATGTTAACTCCCTCATCCCCTTTCTGTTTCTAAGTGTGCGAATTCAGACGCGTGGAATATGAAGAGGCATACGTGTACAAGAGTTCCATCTCTTCTTGTTAATATTCTTTTTCTACTTTTGTGCCGGTATATTCCAAAAGTGTCACAATGGAGCCCAAAACTCTAACCATATCTATATACTCAGAGGGAGAAAAAGCTTAAAACTTTAACTTTGGGGAATAAAACTTATATAAAAAAATACATAGATTTTTTTTTTCTTAGAATAGTGGAACAAAATAAAATTATCCTCTCTTAAAATAAGTGGCAGTAGGAAAGCAAATTTTCCTGTCATGGATAAAAGCTAGGGAACACAAAATCAGCATTTGAAATTTGTTAACTCACAGTGTTTTAAATAGAAAGGAGCTAAAATGCACGTAGGGTGCCTTTCCCAAGGATTATTGCAGTTTCTTGTTAAGTCGCTCAAAATGCAGAATGTACCAACAGTCAAGTCATAAAAGTTGAGATGGGGGAAAAGAACTTTAGTTTCAATTTTGAAATTTCTCTTTTTATTTTTGTTGGAAGGGGGTGAGCTCCAATCACAACAATCACAACCGTCCTGTTATTCGTCAATTGCCTCGAGCAGGCTCCAGTAACGTCTCCTTCGTCCTAGCCCTGAGATTTTTTTAAAAAGTGCCATATTCAAGGCTCTTTCAGGGTGAGGAGAATGAGACCCATCATTGTTACTGGTATTTGGCATATTGGGTACGCCACGGGGAGTTTGCCAGACTCTGCCGTGTGGGCAGGTTACATTCGGTAGCTTGCCAGTTTGTCCAAAGTAGGAATGAGATGATAAGATGTCTTCCGGGAGCTGGGTTTTATAGTCTCTGGGTCTTGGCCATTGATGGGATTAAACAGCCAGTTGGTGGGTGTGACCCCCGCCTACTGGAATTCGGAGGATGTGGGTGGAAGATGCTCAGCCCTGATCCGAGTAGGCTTGGAGATCTCAGCCCCGGGACCCGCTTGCCTTTGTTCCTCTGCCAATACCTTCATGTGTGCGGAGAGTGGTCTCAGCATGGTGGTGGCTGGTCCTGGAGGACTTCGGCTGCCGGAGCCCTGGTCGGGGCAGGGAGGAAAGCTCCACCCACTCCCCTCCAAGGGACCCCAGCGAGGACAGCCAGGCAGGTGGCGCAGGGGTGGGGGAGAGCTCCATGTCGTATTAACTTTGCCAATCCAGGGTCTTACATAGTTGCTCCCCTTCTTGAGTTCTTTTTTTTTTTCAGTTATGCAAGAAAAAAATACATTTCTGCAGTGTTTTTCTCATTCATCTGTGGAGTTATTGTGCGAAAAGTTCTGTGTTGGCCTCTACAACTCACTCAGTGTTTGAGTATCTCACTCAGTTTTTTTTGAGCTTCTGTTTCTTTGTAAGTCAGAGTTTCAAATGGTTGCCTCATCTCAATCCCAGGCTGGTACAGAGGGTATGAAGAATTCAGATAGGCAAATTTGGATTTGAGATAGATCCTCTTCTAATTCCCATTTTGCAGGTGAAAAAAAGGCTACCAGAGACTGACAAGCTTATTCCAGAAACACAGCTAGAAGATGGCAGCTGTGGCTCTAATCCCTGTCTCTAATTGTATTGTTTTTGGCCACGGTGCTCTTGACATTGTCAGGCTGATGTTTGTGACTTCCCATCGGGGAGTCCCAGGATATTTAACCTCGTCCCTGACCTCCAGCTCCCTGGATACCAGTAGCATCTCCCAAGTTGTTGCAACAAAATGATCTGCAGATACTTCCAAATGTCCTTTGGCAGGCAGACTTGTCCTAAGCTGAGAGCTGCTGGTCTGTGTAATCCCAGAGCTAAACTTTTATGAGGATATTTACTAGTGTTGCCATTATTCTGAATAGTGTCTGGTTGGACTTCTGCACTACATAGCGTTTTGCAGAATTTGAAAAAGAGAACTGGTTTTCATCTGTTGTCTCATTTCTGAAGATTAGCAGGGCATTGGCCTCTCTGAAAGATCCCCGTAACTGTTCTCGGAGAAGCAGAAATCACACAGCGGAGACACTACCAAGTGAAACTTAGCAGTGGTTTTCAGCCACCGTTTCCTGGACTAATGCTGCTCTCTGTGCAAACCTAAAAAGATGGAAATCACCACTTTACTGCAGTGCATATTAACTTCCGGTCTGTGGACTGATGCTTAGACATTACCAGTTGCCATATGTAAAAATGTTGAAAGCCTTCTCTAGGCTAAGCCATCCCACCACTCTAAGATCATTCCCTAACAGGTCCCCTGGTCTCTGCTAACAGCCTAAAGGACAAGCCTCTCCAAGAGGTCTGGACCAGGCCTTCCTTTGCCAAACAGGCCACTTTGATGTGTGGATGATCTGAAGGTCTCTCTAGCCTTTTCAAGCCAGGAGTAAGTTTTACCACTCCCTTTGCAACCAACAGGAATGAAAAGTGGTAGTATTATCAGAATTAATACTTCAAAAGATGTGTTAAATACAATTATTACAATTTAGGTTACATGTTTACAATGGCTTTAATATTGATGGTTTTGTTCTACCCAGTTACTATACCTCACTACTGCCTAAGACCTCCACTAGAGTCCCTGTGTCGCACTCATTCCACCTCCTGTCCATCCCCTTCTTCCTTGGTGTTCCCAATTTCATAATCCACAATTAAGAGGGTGTTATCATTTGATGGTATGAATTAAGATTTTTCACTTGAGAAGCCAGGTAGTAGAGGGGCTAAGGCACTTGACTTTCCTGTTGCCAACCCAAAATCAATCCCCAGCACGAAATAAAGTCCCCTCAAAGCGCTGCCAGAAATGATCTCAGAGCATAGAGCAGGGATGGGAAGATTTTAAAGTATTTTTATAATTCACTGGGTTTTTTTTAATGTAACATTGATAACAGTTTTGATTAATATCATTGTATGCATCTTTGTTTACTAGGCAAGCCTGAGTCTGGTTTGGTTTTTATCATGCTGTCTAAAGCACCCTGGGCTTCTCTTCTGCTTCCAGGTGGCCTATTTGAAAGTGTAACACGGAGCCGGCGTTGCTCTCCTTGGCAGACCACTCTTCACACCAGAGTACACCGGAGATCAGGCGGCACCAGTTGGCACACTGGCAGCGATTATGGAGACAGGAAACCGAGTCTGGAACGAGAGCATCAACTTGAAGCTTTGTGTTTGCTTGTTTGTGTAGAGGCTCTAAAAAGAAAAAAAAAAGAAAGTTAAACTTTGAATCATTGGAAAACCAAGGCCATGAAGAGAGCTGTAATAGCAGGTTGTCGACTGTTGAGATAAGTATAGAAGTTAAGTCTCTTTCCCACAGAGAGGATTATTCCAATCTGTGCTGTGTCAGCACCACCTGGTAGGACAGTGGAGACCCATCTGTCCTGCGTGGATCACAGCGAGGGATTTTGCTGGTGGAGATGCATGTTCGTGGGGGGAACTGTAAGTGAAGAACTTCTTACTTTCATTTAAAATACATTTTAAAAGGACAAAACAGAGAGGAGTTGATGTCCTTATACCAAGAGCATCAATAAATAAAGGCTCTCCCATTTATGCAAACCTGCCTGTGTTTCTTTTGTCTGAATCCTTACTGAATACTGTTATTGCAAACCAAAAAATATATGTCCGTGACATACTGTTTCAAAGTTGTTTTCAGCCCTGTGTGACAGAGATAGTGTAGAAGAAAGTGTTGAATGGGAATGATGGAGCTAAAGGTAGTCAAGGTAATTCCCCATTGTCCCGAGAATGAGTGTTGCTTGGATCACACAGAAGGGTCAGGGCTGGGACAGGAGCCAAGGAGATCGTCCCTTCCTTTCCCACCCCACAATTCAGGAGAGACAGCTCTTGGATTTACACTAGACCTGCCGCACGTCAAGATCATTAACTTTTTTTTTTTTTAATTTAGGTCCACACCTACGCCCAGCTGTCAGGGTTTACTCCTTGCTCTGCACTCAAGGATCACTCCTTGTGAGCTTGGGGACTGGGATGCTGGGGAGTGAACCCAGGTTAGTCACATGCAAAGCAAGCACCCTACCACTCACAGTTGCTCCAGCCCCAGAAGATGATAACCTCCAATCCTTACCTCCATATCACCCTTTCCCACCCCACCACGGACACACAACCTCTCCCAAAACACCCCGAATTTTCTGTTTTCTAATTTCCTAATTGTCTTGCCACCCTGTCACTTAGCATTGCGATCTGGGGAACTTTTGTGATCATTCTTCCTTGGAGTTTAACCAATATAGATGTCTCATGGCAGAGCAGCTGTGTAGCACTCATAACTCTGTAAATAGTGGACCGACAGGGATTCGATGTGCTGCTCTCTTCTTTTCTACTCACCTGGATAAGGACATATATTTACCTGGAACCATCCTGTGCTTGTGAAAAGAACAACCTTAATTTTTAATTTTGTGTGTGTGTGTGTGTGTGTGTGTGTGTGTGTGTGTGTACTTAAACACTGATTCACAAAGCTGCTCACAATATAGTTGTTTCAGGTGTTGAGTCTTCACACACCTATCTCACCACCAGCGTGCCCTTTCCGCCACCAGTGTCCCTCGTTTCCCTCCGACCCTCAAGCCTGCTCCCTTAGCAGGCACTAATTCATTTACTTTCATTATATATTACAACTTATATCTCATGATGACATTGCTAAAGTCAGGGCGTGAGGATTCCTGAGCTGTTAGGTGTGAATTTGGCCTTCTGTATTATTGCTTCTACTCATTGAGCTTCGTGGGCTTCTACTCAGTTTTCCCATCTGGTTTTCTTCTTGTCTCCTGGGCTGTCAGCTCTGAAGTTCGGAGGTGTTGTGCAGCCTCACCTGCAGCTGTTCGCTTTAGGGGCTTTGGAGGTAGGACTCAGAACTGCAGGTGTCTCTCTGGCCTCTCTGAGATCAGTCATGAATCTGGGACGATTCTCTGGCATTGGCAGGAGCCGGATGTGGGTGGAGGACTGGGCCTTTGGCAGGGTAGGGACTCGGCCTGCCATAATCCTGCTAGGATTCAGAGATGTTGGCCCAGTGGAGGCTGAGCCTTCCTGGGATAATTCAGCTGGCAGCATCTCTCCAAAATCAGTCCAGAAGCTGGGCCTTCTCTCTGGCAGTGGTGGGAGCTGAATGTGGGTGGGTGGGTGGATGGAGCACTGGGCTTTTGGCCAGGCTGGGAATCCATCTACCCCCATCCAGGCAAGGGCCCAGAGATCTTGGAGTCTTTCTTTTTGTACTCTCCTAGGTTCAGTACCCAGAATTTTCTAGTTTTTGTTTGCCTGGCAGTGCTCAGGCTTTTGGCTCTACTCAGGGATCACTTCTGTCAGAGCTTGGGGAATCGTGTGGGGTGCTGGGGACCAAACCCTCGTTGGCCACGTGCAAAGCAAGTACCCTACATGCGGTACTATTTCTCCAGTCCCTCAGTGCCTGGGATTGTCAAAGCAAATGGATAAAGACATTATCGTTTGAGGTGAAAAAACATGCCCGGTTCCATACCTAGACACAGAAGGTTCATCAAAAAATGAGTCTAGGCTAGGGACAGATGACTCTGATTTATATGTCGTCTTAGGCTAAACAAAGAAAAGGGAGCTTGGGACCTCTGGGTGGGGAAAGCACCTGATTAGGAAGGGGTGGGGTGGGGGGTTGGTGAGTAAGGGTTGTCTCTATGTAAGCATCTCTCATGTTAAGAGATGCTTGGAGAATTGTCTTTCCTAGATGTCCCTTAAAAATTAAGTGTGCTCACATGCTAGGGGAAAAGGCAGCTCAGATAGAGAAGGGAGCACCAAATAAAGGGTGTTGGGAGGATCCTCCCAGGATGGGAGAAGCATGCTGAAAGTAGACTATAGACCAAGCATGATTGCCACCCATTGCCTCTTTTGCAAACCACAACACCCAATAGGAGAGAGAGAACAAAAGGGAATGCCCTGCCACAGAGGCAGGGGGGGATAGGGGGGATGGGGGGTGGGAGGGATACTGGGATCCATGGTGGTGGGAAATGGGCACTGGTGGAGGGATGGGTGTTTGATCGTTGTATAATTGAAACCCAAGCACAAAAATTTGTAAGTCTATAACTCTACCTCATGGCGTCTCACTAATAAAAATTTTTTTAAAAATTAAGTGTGCTTTACCAACAGGAAAACTACTTTTATCCTTAAGCACCTAAGGGGAGATAAAGAACCTTTCCTGCTTCTGCTAGTTCTCAATTATCTTTTGCTCATGATACTTACGTCAGGTGACATGTTTGGGGTGACACATTCTATGCTGTTCAACACACTTGCAGGCTACTGAGTAGCATTTCGACTCTCTGCCCCTTGATGTCTATGGTACCATCTCAGTGGAGAAAACTCTAACTGTCTTCAGGCATTTCCCTGGTGACTGAAATGAACCCCGTTTGGGAACTTCTGATAAAGAAGATGTAGTCTGAGAAGTGAGATCTGGTGTTTTACAGTAATTATAAAAATGGAATCGTTTTCTGACACATAGACTGGCCTTAGTACACTTATTTACACCGATGAATTCATTTTTGATGAGAACCTTCAGTAGAAATGTTTCCTTTTTATGCACGTAAGGGCCACCCAGGTGATTCAGGAGGGCCACGCTCAGTGATGCTGGATCAAGCGTGGGCTTGACAGTTTGTTTCTCTGACCAGCAGAGCTACACACCACCAGGGCCAAAGGTATCAGTGCCAGGGTGAGGAAATGTGATGTGGGTGATGATGTCAAACCACCAGTATGGGCTGCAGGGGTGATAGGAGTCTAGCATGATCCCTGCCAGTGAAGGTGATTGGGGATACCCTGCCTTGGGATTCATTGTGGAAGTTAAGTGATGTTGAAGTCTTGAAGTGACCGAAAGAGACACATGGAAAGATAAGAACTTTGAAACCTTAAGAAAGTCGCACTGTATTAGCAGTATTGAGACAGGACAGTGAACTGGACAGCAGAATTCTTTTTGGGGCTGTGGAATGCACTGAATGATATTAATGAAATGAGCGACCTTTTTTCTGACTCTTTAGGGATTGAATACAGCACGATTGCTGAATCACCTGTTTCGGAGTCCCTGACGCTTTTGATCTGTGAGATTTAAAGGTGGTGAACTCTTAAACACCCTCACATTGAGAGGACTCTGGAGCCACATTTCATCACCTGTGTAGTTCCTTGACCTCGTCTTTTTAATGGATCTAAAAAAATGCATCACCGTGTATTTTTTGGATATGACATGGCTGTTATTGCATGCATAGTATTTTTAGAATAGAAAGTACCTGGTACACGGTGTGTAATGTATTTTAGCTATGATTAAGTATTTATTATGGCTATTCTGCAAGTCTGCCATTCTCTTTCACTCCAACTTCCCATTACCTATGGAATTTTTTTTTTTTTGATTCTAAGGACCAGAGTAATATGATGAAGCTAGATGCATTAGCTAACTTAATCTAGTAGTAGAGCATAAGGTGAACTGAAAAAAAAAATACTACTGTTTCAAAATAAAAGATGGCCTTCCAATCTTAAAAAAACTATCGGAGAATGTCTTAACCAAATAACTTTGTCATTCTTTTTCCTATTCTGTTTTTAATATTTTTGAAGGAAGGCAGTTAAAGGGATGCAAATTCTTCCATTTTAGTGTTGGAGCGATAGCACAGTGGGTAGGGTGTCTGCCTTGCATGCAGCCAACCCGGTCGACCCGAGTTCGATTCCTCCACCCCTCTCGGAGAGCCCGGCAAGCTACCGAGAGTATCTCGCCCGCATGGCAGAGCCTGGCAAGCTCCCCGTGATGTATTCGATATGCCAGACACAGTACAACAAAGTCTCCATTGGAGACGATACTGTGGGCCCACTCGAGCAAATCAATGAACAATGGGAGGACAGTGACAGTGACAGTAGTGATCTCACACAGTACAGGATTAGCTATTCTAAGGTTTTCACAGGCCCTATAAAATGAATGCTTTTTCGCTATTCTTTTGCAAGCAGAAAATCTTTTACAAAAATTCAATCCAGAAGTTTCTAACCAAGCTTCCTACAGTGAGAGCCACTGAACTCAATTTCAGCTTCCCCTTTATATCATTTCCAAACATACCGGGAATCCGTTTACATGGTTCAGTATCTGGTTCTCAGGAGAGTCTTTCTGATGTTCAGGTTTTATTCCCTTATATTCTGATCACAGAAGTTTTAAATAGGAGTACTCGACCAGAAGTACCACAAGTCTGAAAGAAGTTGAGCATGTTACTAAATCTAAGATGAGATTACTTTTCTTCTTACAGTTAGCATATTCTTGAAATGAATCAGAATATGACGCGTCCTAATCTTATATAGCCTATGTAGTTCATTCCAGCTTTGTTTCCCTATTAGAATTACATTGGAGGTTAGCCAAAACCTGGAAAAAACCCGAGTGCCCGAGAACAGATGACTGGTTAAAGAAACCTTGGTACATCTACACAATGGAGTACTATGCAGCTGTTAGAAAGGATGAAGTCATGGAATTTACATACAAGTGGTACTACGTGGAAAGTATCGTGCTAAGCGAAATAAGTCAGAAGGAGAGGGACAGACATAGAAAGATTGCATTC